GGGAATGGTATTTAAGGCTTGGCTTTCCCACTTCCTTGTTGAGTGATAGAGAACAAGGGGGACTCTCGCGCGCCGCCGTCCGTCTCGGGTCGTGGTCGTGGTCGTGGTAATACGTGTCTTCGACACGTCCGCGCGAATACTATATTTTTAGAGAAAATTCTTAAGAAACAAATGCAATACCACCAATCGTTGCGATTTTGGACTATCGCAATGCGGTTTTGGACTATCGCAATGCGAACTTCGACTATCGCAATGCGAATATGTAAATCGCAATGCGATAGTCGAAGTTCGCATTGCGATAGTCCAAGTTCGCATTGCGATAGTCGACTATCGCATTGCGATTTACATATTCGCATTGCGATAGTCCAAGTTCGCATTGCGATAGTCCAAAATCGCATTGCGAATCTGGAAACTGATTTGCGATACCAGAGATCGCGTTGCGAATTATCGATCGCATTGCGATTTAGTTGGTCATTTTGGTAAATCCAAAAAAAATTGATTAAAATCATATATTATAAGGTATTTTTGGTCACTGAGGTTATTTTCTCTTTATAAATATGGGGACTTGAACAAACATATTTTATTGTCTTCTCGGAGTTCTTGATCGGCCCATCGGACAAAGCCTTGCATTTTAATCATCATATGGCCATGTTTTGTACTATGATTCAGAGATGGCAAAGATAAATGCTTAATGAAATATTGAAGTAGTCAGAATTAAGGTTGAGCGTTTGAAAGAGTCAAGTTGAATTAAATGAATTTTTATAACTATATACATATATATATTTCTTCATATGTGATATACATATATCATACAAAACTCGAAGTCATAATTCAATTTGAAAAAATCGATTTTTCGAGTGAGTTTGAATTTTGCTCACCTTTAATAAGAAGAGTCGAATCCAAATAGCAAAGTTGTAATAGGAAATCAGATGTTCAAATCTTTTTTCTTGTCCAGGGGAATCTCAAAATATGTATGGGCTGTTTCTATCAAGAAATATGTAGGATCGTTGCAAATCGGCAGTCAGCTGCTCGCTCTAAAAAGAGGAAAGCCCGATATATATGTGAACTTGAGAGAAAAGCACAAACTCTTTCTGCTCAACTAACTTTATTCCAGGTTCTTGTCAAATACATAGTTACATACCTGTCTCGTTACATAACTGTAAGTCTGTAACTGTATTGAGTGACCATCTGATTGTAGTGCCTTGAGTTTACAATTAACCTTTATGACTTGAATCATGTGTAGCTCATGTTAAACTAGTGTAAGGCGACTCCCGAGTGATTTGCAGCCGGTTTAACGCTTTTCTGCTAGCTTATAAAATGTTTACTCTCGTGAACCGTCTAACTACGTTAAACTCGGGTGAGAATTTCAGATTCGGGTATGCATCCAACAAGGGTATTTTCAAACTATGTTGATAATCATTCAATATCAGTTCGGAAGGCGATGGTTTTTTGCCATTTGGAACATATATTGGCAGTAGTGCAGGAAATCAAGGCTTTAGTCATCAGAACTTTAACTACCTTGCTACCTTACAAGGGGTGAAGGTGACCTACAAGCTGAGCTTCTAATTAAATGCACATGGCATGTGGTTGAACATTTTAGTTAGAACTGATCCATTTAGGAACTTGGAAGTCCCCCCAAGTGGGTCTGTTTTTGTGGCTGCTGTTTAAGGACAATGACTATTGAGTTCATGGTCCCTTTACCCATTGAAGATGATATGAAGATTGTTTTCAAAGTGGGAGTAAGAGTGATAATCCCTTGAGAAGGGCACTCTTATTGGCACCAAACACAGCGACAATCCACATGACCTTTTGTGGATCTTATTTCAAGCTTTGATTTGTGTTTGTCCCCATGGTAACGGCCGCAGAGTTTTAGGGTCACAAATCTTAATCCTATTCATATAAAGAAATTTGAGGGGAAAAAAAGGAAGAAAAATCCGAACCAAGCAAACGGACCAAATTGCTGTAAATCCTGTGGTTCATGTATTTTTAGGTATAAATTAAGTGAATGGATCTTAATCGCTCCAATGGAAAATCTATATTTAGTTTATTACTGTTCCTCTTCCATTGATAAAATAACCAAACAAAAATTAACAAAATATTCATTAATTGCCCCCATGCAGGATCAAAAATTATAATTACATAATATTAAACTTTTTAACAGATTAAGAACCCAAAGACGGAAATACGTTTATTTTGACATTATACATATATATATATATATAGTCTAGGATAATTATAATTTAGTATATATTTAGAACTCTTTTAATCTATCGATAATATATATATATATTGCAAATATAATTACTCGAATTTAGAATCTCTAGAGAGAGCTACCTTTCCTTTTACTTCTGAAATTACTTGATGAGTTCAATTTTCCATATATTTCTTTAAAGTTATGAGTATAATGTATAATTATAATTACAAGAAATAAATAAGTAATTATAAGTATAATAAAATCTTAAGTGTAATTATAAATATAATATATTAATTTAAGTATTAAGTCACATAAAAATAAAATAAAAATATTAGTGTTCGTGTTACTTTCCATATATTTAAAGTATTATAAATTACATAAAAAAATTGCACATAATTAATAATTTATTTATGTATAATTTTACATGTTTATGTAATTTTATTATGTTAATGTTTTTATGCTGTGTTCATGTTTAGGAACATTTTTCATATAATTTCTTTTATAGAAATCGTTATCCAAAATTACAATAAAGGTTTACAATCATAATCATAAACTAAACACCTAATTAGGATATTTTCTTGTAATCATTGCCACAAAAACTAATTACTCAAGATCACTCATTGACTATATAAGGAAAATGTTAAAAACCTAACCAAAAACTTCGAATAAAAGATGACACAAATAGATCCGATTGAATCGATAAACAAACCATAAAAAATATCAAGCTACTAAAAAACCACCGATAAATTACAAATCAAAGTCGAGTGACATTAGAAAACTATCTACGAATTTAAACTGCGTATCTAAATCCAATATAAGGATCCAAAGCATGGAAGATCAATATAATAACAAATAAACGACATCTTGATCAATTACGGCAATATTAAATCTAATCCTAAAAAAAATTAGACGAAAACAACAGTTAAACAACCGAAACATATAAAATAACAGAAATAACGTATCTTAAAGATAAAAAAATCATATCATAAAAACAAAGTTATTATAAATTGAACATACACCGTCCCCACCTATAACTACCAACAAAGATAGGAAAAGATACAAACGAGAAGCAAGGAAAAGGTAAAAGAAAACTAGAGCGAAATTCTTTTCCAGATAATTTTTCTTGATAAAGTTTTAACGAGACATATTATATTTAATAAACATTCGGAGCATTATAATTATTTATTATTTATGGATGTTTGATTAGAACAATAAATTTAGATTTTGAGATTCACTAAAGTTAAGATTTTATGTGACGTTTATTTTTTATAATATAAATTTTAAATTTTAAAAAGTATTATACACATTTTATATTTAAAAATAATATACAATTTTCACTTTATTCTTGTATCTTTTATTCTATTGTGCTTGTTTTATCTTTTCTTTTATAATATTATCGACTATGAATTAGACAAAAAAAATAAAGATATATAACAGTAGAAAGTTACGTTTCTCATATTTTTTTTGAAAAAATATGAAATTAACAAACAAAATTAAAAGCAAATAAAACCATTAATCAACATCATGTGGCCAAATCTCATATTATATATATATGGATGTTTTTGTTTATCTTATTATTCATGTATGACATTAGAGCATGAAAACCACTGAAATTGAAATGAAAATGATGCACGCGTTAAGAAGATAAGGGCTGAGGGACCGCGATCCCCGGAGAGCTTGCATGTGCCTCCTAACATGGTAGGGACCCCTTTCTCTCTAATCTAATCTTTCCCTCACTAAACCCCAAAATATTAACCTATTCCATTCATCCAACACTCAACTAATCATTGTGAAAAACTACAATTCTTTATGTTTAAAAATATTATTCACCCCCACGTACGCATTCTATATTCCTTGGAATCTATTTTTCAGTCTTTCGTTTATTTTTATATATTTTTATCTTTATATTCGAGTTTTAAAAATATATTTCTATATTGTACATATAATCATATCCAACACTCGAATAACATAACTTTCAAACCCTAAAACATTCGAATTAGGCCTCAGAGTACAACTCGAAACTCAAAAATTCCAAGGATTCTAGTATTTGTGAAGTCCAGCTCACCTCCTTTCCAAAGTCTCCTACTGTATACTCACGAGCTCCATCCCCTTAATGACATCAAACACGTATGATACAGCAAACTGATGGTTAAATAATTAAGATTTTGCAAAATATAATGCAGTATTAAAATTTAATTTAAATTAATCAAAGTTGTTGCCAATTAAGTTTTAGCTTATGCAAGCAAAAGTTGACCCATTGCAGTTGAAAAACATGATGTTTTTTTTAATATAAGATGCTCTTTAATGTTGAATTGAATGCGTTGAAAGATAATGTTGGTGTCCTTAAGTCAACAGGACCTGCATTTTTACAATGTGTTCGACGGATAATGGTCTAAAATGACTGCTAGGTGCACCGCATTAGAGCTGAGAAAAGACCCTCAGACAACAAAGGCAGTAAAAGATTTGTGGATCGAGGGACTGGCGTGATATCTGGGAATTTAAGAAGAAAATTCCATAAACCTACACGTAAGGAAGGTTTAAGATAAACCTAAGAGGGTGGCAATGGGAGGGGTTTGATAAATCCATGCATGTGCAGGTGGGGGCCTATGTGTTAACTGGAACTTTTGCATGTGCAGGGTTGGATCGATGTGGATGGCCCCCGAATATACGAAAATCTGTTTCTTTGTCTAGCCTTTCTCTCTTTAACATCAAAGTTTCTTTCTTGTCTCTTCTTTCTATTTATGTCCACATCACACCGCTCCTTTGGTTCCTATATAAACCCTTTCTTCCACTCCTTCTATGTCACAGGTATCAAGCGGTAACATAATGGCAATATCAGCATTGTCTGCAACTTCTCTTCTGGTTTTTGTCTTCTGTTTTTGCCTACGAGGTGCCTTTGGTGACTATGGGGGAGGATGGCAAGGTGGCCATGCTACATTCTATGGCGGCGGTGATGCATCCGGCACGATGGGTAAGTTTTAGGAGACAAACTTAAAGAGTATCATGGGGTGATGAGAAGTTAAAGCAACTTAATAACTTAATGTTGTATAACTTTTGCTGCTATTTCAGGAGGTGCTTGTGGATATGGTAACTTATATAGCCAAGGTTATGGAACCAACACTGCAGCACTTAGCACTGCCTTGTTCAACAATGGCCTCAGCTGCGGTTCTTGTTACGAAATGAGGTGTGACAATGACCCGAAATGGTGCCTGCCTGGATCCATTATCGTCACCGCGACCAACTTCTGCCCTCCCAACTTTGCTTTGTCCAATGACAATGGTGGCTGGTGCAATCCTCCTCTGCAACACTTTGACTTGGCAGAGCCAGCCTTCTTGCAAATTGGTCAATACCGGGCCGGAATCGTCCCCATTTCGTTCAGAAGGTAAAATTTATAAAAACCCTTTTACTAATTATGTACTAAAAACAATGAATTGACCTCATGTGAATGACAAATTCATGTTGGTATTTACAGAGTATCCTGTGTGAAGAAAGGAGGAATCAGGTTTACAATCAATGGTCATTCTTACTTCAACTTGGTCCTAATTACAAATGTTGGAGGTGCTGGAGATGTCCATTCAGTATCAATCAAGGGTTCAAAAACAGGATGGCAATCCATGTCAAGGAATTGGGGCCAAAACTGGCAGAGCAACTCTTACCTCAATGGTCAAAGTCTGTCATTCCAAGTCATCACGAGCGATGGCAGATCCGTGACCAGCTACAACGTGGCACCCGGAAATTGGCAGTTTGGTCAAACATTTGATGGTGGTCAATTCTAGAGTTTCAGGACAACAAAGGGTCTTGGAATAGAAGATACATATGTCATAGATATTGTTTGAGTCAGGGAAAGGTATAAGAGGGAGAGTTCAGAGTAAGGAGAGGCTCAGCCAGCCCCATATGGCTGTCAACTGCTGAGGTGATTAATTGGGCACCCGCTAGGCCTTTATATATATCACTTTACTTGATTCATGATCAAGGATATTTCCATTTGTTTGGCTTTTGTTTTAATTCATCAGAGCCATGCCATGAACTGAATCAAAATATCAAATTAAAAGATTTCTTTAGTTCATTCTAAACTTTGACTTCTATGGTTTTCTCTTAACAAGAAATCCTGATGACAATCATGGTGTATCGAAAACCATTGAATGAAACCGACAGAGATAGACGAAGCAGCCGTAGATATAATCCTTTCTAAATTTATTTAGTAAAAGTAGAGACAAACAAATGTACAAGCCCCCTACAGACTATAATAGTCATGTGGAAACCAGGAATAGGTGAAACCCAAAATTCCCCGTACCATCTTTTTCTATCCACTAGTGCGGAAAAAGCATTTACCGGACACTGCTACTCAACCGGTGGTGAAGCATGTAGCTAACATAACAGAGAACAAAAGATGCGAAATATCGTCGACATTGTATCAGTCAGTGACACACCTAGAGTCAAGCATGTTCAGTCTCTATGTAAACTGCAAGACTTGGGTGTTTTTATCTTTGCATAAACAACGGGATTCTTCTCATCAAACTCTCATCCACTATCCTATAGTGCTGGGAAAATTTTCGGTGGATCATTCCACAGTATTTATCCACATGTTCTTCATATTTGGCATAGAAGGCTGGAAGAGTAATGGATAAGATAGTTCCTGCCATCAGAACATGAAAAACACAGTACATTTAAACGAGGACATAACTTAGGATTCCTTACACATATAATGAGAAAAAATACATCGACAGAAGGCCTTTCATTTGGCAATTGATTTGTGACTGGACCTTGATACCACTAATTAATAATCTATCTTACTCGGTCTCGGGTGTAAATGTCGAACAAAGGTATGTCCAGTCACCCCCCCAACGAAATAGTGATTGAAAATATATGCGGAGTGAGCAGAGGTAAAATGGAAACTTGGCTTCCAAGGATTGTAGTATCCCATCAGGGAAAACTTGATTCAGCTTCTACTATATGTCCATCTACAAATTGGAATAAAAGACTACTTGAAACAAACATAACTAATTTTTTTTAAAAAGGGGGTTCAATTTCATTGTAAAAGAAGACCAAACATGAAAGAAAGCAGTTTGTTACCTTTGCCACCGCCCAAAAATTGGTGAAGAGAGCCTTGACGACCAAACAAACGGTAACCATCGGAGGATTTTGTTGAAGAAATGGAAGATATTGTGTGATTTCTCATCTCTTCCCCATCATTGTTACCAGAATTCCCCATCAATTGCAATGATGAAATGCAATCCACACTCTCCTTTTTCAGCTTTCAAATTGTACCCAGAAATGAAAAACTAAAAGTTTCGAGTCTTGCACCAAGCTTTCCCTCTATGAAACCAAATTACAACCGGGTCACTGTTCTCTCACAGAATTGACCAACAAAGGGGGAAAGGAAAAGAAAAGAAAAAAACTGCTTTTCAAATTGTTTTGTTTGGGAAGAAAAGAAAGCTCGTTTCTCTGTTTTTCATCTCTATCCCATTTAATTTAGTCGTATATTTGTTTCAAAGGGCAGTAAAATTCCGAATCAACTTGAAATCAGTTTGCTCCTCGGCGGTTTGATTTGTCAATGGTTAGGAAATTCAACAATTGAATTTGTTGGTTTATTTTATATTTGATCCTTCCATGTCCCTGTCTCAACAATCATTTTTACATTGTTTAAGGCCACCGATGTTATATCTTGTCTGATTATTGTTGTCTTCTATCTAGCTCGTTTGCAATTTTTAAGGTTACCTTCCTTGTTCGAATTCTTGCAGATAAAATGACGGTGAATACAATTCTGTATCGACAGTTGAAAATGGAAGTGCAGCCGAAGCTGATGTCGTCCCCATTGACATTGAAGTAAAGATTTGTCTGCATGAAAGCTTCCCAAACTGTATTGAGTAGCAAGCTGAAGATTAGAGATGGAGTGCATATTCAAATTCAATCTTGTATGTTGTTTGATGCTGTTAGTCTCATATTGCACAATTAGGTTCAAGCTCAATGAAAACTTATTCATGTTAATTTTTCAATGACTAGCAGATGAGTTCAATTACTTTGTCAAGTAGCAATACATATCATATGTTAGTAAAAAAAAAGTGGTACTTTCTCAACCAGTTTTGTTTCTCTTTTGAGTACTCATGTATTACAGGCCTAATATAGAAATAAGCGTTCAAAATATATCATTTTTAAAAAAAATAGGTGTATAAATTTATTTTTGATCCATTTAGGTGTCTAATATTATCATTTTAGTTGTCTCAGCCGTAATGACTGTTAAAATATTATGTTAAATGAAATGTGTCATGTACTAGTAATTTTAAAAAATTTATGAAAAATAAAAAAATAAAAAAACCCAGAATTTTCGAAAAAAACTTAAAAAATAACTTCAAAACTATAAAAACTCTAATTTTAATCTCCAAATACACGCTGCCCGTCGTCTTTTGTTGCCGTGGAACCTCCACCCGACGGCAAATCCACTGGACAACCAATTAGCCGAAAAAAACCACCAACACATGAGCCAATCTACGACCAATCGACGCGATCTCGATGAACCTCGATGCTATAAATCACAGCAAAAGACGATCTCGACGGTCAATCAACGGTAAGGAGGATAACATCAAACTAGGGAGATGGCAAGGACGACGTCGGCGACGGTAGCCGAGACCAACAAGGGATGTAAGGTTAAGGTTAGGGTTAAGGTCAAGGATTTTGGGGCTTTTTATAATTTAAGAGAAATTAGAGTTTTTAAAAAATAATATTTAAAAAAATTAAAATTACCAGAACGTGACACATGTCACTTAACAAACCTTTTTAACAGTTGTTTCGACTAGGACACCTAAAGTGATGGCGTTTAGACACCTAAATTAACTAAAAAAAAGGTTTAGGCATCTATTTAGAAAAAAAAATATAATTTGGACACTTATTTTTATATTAAGCATTTCTTATATTACGTTCATTTCCTTATGTTGAAACACGTGGAAACAATAAAACTTAATATAAAAATAAGTGTCTAGATTATATCGTTTTTCTATCTAGATGTTTAGTCTTACAAACGTTATTATTTTAAATTTTCGATCATAATAACATTAAAAAATCCAGTTAAATAGCCATTTTAAAAAATTCATGTTACAAATAATAATGTCATAAATTAAATCTCAAGGTTATTCTTATAAAATCAATGTCAAATATACTAAAAATGATCAAAATAGATAAATCCAATAAAAAGACATATGAAGATATTTTGTTAGTACAAATCTATGAGAGAAAAATTACTTTACAAATTTAATCGGCTAAAAAGTTTAGGAAAATGTTTGATTTATACAAATTCATATCAATACATTCAATCCAATAATCCTACCCGCGTGTCACGCTAGCCCTTCCCCTCATTATATAAAATCCCCACTCTTCCAGGTTTCATGTATTTAACTCAAACTTCTGGTTTTACTTGGTAAAAGGAATCTTCTCGTATCCAAATGGCAGTCCGTTCATTAGCAACCAGGAAAACCCTAACCTTGGGTCTCAACTCGACGAGGCTGACCCAGTCTCGTGCCTTGCAGACCTTCTCGCTTCCCGATCTTCCTTACGACTATGGCGCACTGGAGCCCGCCATCAGTGGAGAGATTATGCAGCTCCATCACCAGAAGCATCATCAAACTTACATCACTAACTATAACAAGGCTTTGGAGCAGCTCCACGAGGCTATCCAGAAAGGCGATTCTTCCACCGTCGTTAAGTTGCAAAGCGCCATCAAGTTCAACGGCGGAGGTAATTTTTTTTCTTTTTTATTCCCCCAATTTACTTGCTTGTCACTTACGGGTATGAAATTATATAGGATTTTGAAATTGGTAAATGCCAAGAATGTAATCCTTTGGAATTATAAGAAATAATGATTTCACGTTTTAGCCAATAGAGAAAAGCAAGTGATTAAAAAACTATGTTATTGTTTGGGAAAGTAAATATTAGACGGGGATTAAAAACTATGTTATTGTTTTGGAAAGTAAATATTAGACGGGGATTAAAACTATGTTATTGTTTTGGAAAGTAAATATTAGACGGTTTTTTACAAATTTGATTAAAAGGAATCATAGATACTACGTAGCAATCGGCCATCATTTTGTTTTTTTTTCTTTCTTTTCAATCCTTTGTTTGCTGTTACTTTAAATTTCCTTCATGTTGAATGATTGTTATCTCATGCAGGTCATATCAACCACTCAATTTTTTGGAACAATCTTTCTCCAATTCGTGTAAGCTTAGTAATCTTGAATGCAGCTCGACTGTGAAATAGATTGCTTCTTACCTTATTCCATTTTTATGACAGGAAGGAGGAGGTGAGCCTCCAAAAGGTTCTTTGGGTTGGGCTATTGACACGAACTTTGGCTCATTGGAAACATTGATTCAGAAGATCAGTGCTGAGGGTGCTGCTGTGCAAGGCTCTGGTTGGGTGGTCAGTGATTTTGTTTGTTGTGGAGTCACTTATTTATTTTGTTTCGTTGGTCATCTAATCATAAATGGTTTGCATCTGTCATTGCCTACTATTTCTTCTCTTGTTTTCTTACTTTTTGTCTTGACAGTGGCTTGGACTGGACAAGGAATTGAAGAAGCTTGTGGTTGAAACCACTGCAAATCAGGTATGCTTGCAATATTTAGTGTAAAGTCATCCATGAACAACTATGGGGCTTCTTGGTTTGTTCACTTTGGATGTGAATATTCTTAACTCTATGCCCCTGCTTATTATTCTCTGGTGGTAGACTTACTAAATGACTGAGAATATCTTATATGAGTTGTGGCCTCTGGAAGATGCACCATGTAACAGGGTTGCCCATTACCGTAGAGATCTATGGTGTGAGAGAGATCGCTTGTACTTGGTTTTTGTAATATTGGAGTCTTATCAAGTTTAGGTTCCCTCTTAAGAGTTGCTGTAATTATAAAATCTACGAGTTGAGAAGATTCTGACAACATGTTAACATAATTATGGAATCTTTGCTGCAGGATCCACTTGTGACTAAAGGGGCACATGTAGTTCCTTTGCTCGGGATAGATGTTTGGGAGCATGCATATTATTTACAGGTAAATTTTTTTAACTTTTCTGTTATATACATATATATATATCAGTATTTGTATATTGGTGATCCAGACAATGCCAAAGTAGCATTGTTACATCAATGATTCCCTGATTTGATTTAAAGAACTTTTACCGTTTTTCAGTTTTTGATATATACATATATATTATCTTATTTGGTTGGTCACATTCAATAAACTGAAAATTTTGCCCTCTTAAATCCCAGTGATTGAGTGAAGAGAGGGAGTTTCAAAAAGATATTTTGTTCACTTTATTCATTTGCATAAATAAACTTATGAGTGTATCATATATCTTGTTTCCTTTTAAGAGATTATCAGGCTTTCTTTCTTTCTAGAATTTTGCTTATTCATTGCTCTGTTATAAAGACCACATCTGTGTTGTGAATCTTTGTCCCTTTGATTTCTTGGTGTACATTTTTATAATGTGTCCCTTTGCTTTATGTTTTTATGGTGCAGTACAAGAATGCTAGACCAGATTACCTCAAGAACATATGGAAGGTCATCAATTGGAACTATGCAAGTGGAGTGTATGAGAAAGAAAGTGCTTGAGCTTGATGTAGAGAATTAAGAGGCACCTTATTGGTTTGCAATGACAAACAGAGTAATAAAAAGAATAAGAGGATGATGTACATTTAGTCTTACCGATGAAGGGGCGTTGCTTTTGTTAGTGTTAAAAGTTAATAATATTAAGATCTATGCTTAAGATTAAAAGTTGTGTTGTACCTCTGTGGTGAATTTCATCTACATTTTGCTTTTGGGTTTTTTCCTCATCCTTACGGTTCCGGAGCTTATTGAGATTGCGTTGAATGGCTATATGTTGGTTTTCTTGATATTTTGCCCTGTTTGGGGTTCATAAAACCAATGATGAATTGCTTCTGATCCCCTCTTATACATTTATATAGATACATCCAACGTGTAATATTAGGTATGACCCAAATTTTCCAACTACAGTTTTAATTTCTTTTGTACCCAGAAGATTAAATTATAAATTAAGAGGAAGGTTCAAATATATTTTTATTATAAATTAGGATTGTCAGTTTAAGTTTTAACAACTGAGTTTATTTTGATTTCAGTGATTGGTGCTAATAACGCGAAGGTCGCTGGTTTGAGACCTGCATGGGCCATAATGTTCTTCATGTTTTACTCAAACATCTAAAAAAATTGATAGATTTAATGACTATTATTTGATCATGATCAAAATTTAAAATTTAAAAAGTACAAGTACTAAAGGCAATCAAATTAGAAATTAAGGACTCAATTTTCAATTTCAGTATAAAAAGGGACTAAGATTACAGTTTAACCTTTATAAAAGTGTAAGAGAAAATTAGGGCTTCACGAGACAAACTCGCCGTAGTATAAAAGCAACATTTTCCCAAAAAATTTGCCCTTCGCTTCACATCTCAAATCCCTAGTGCTTAGCTAGCAGAAGCAGCGAGCGTCGAAAAGAACTGCAACCTCGAATCATGGTCTGATCTTCATTGCATCTTTACTTTTGCTTCTGGGTCTTTATCAAAATTTAATCCTTTTTCACTAACTTAATCACTTTGATTGGATCTTTTACCTTTATTATTCTGTAGACATTCAAGCGTAGGAATGGGGGCCGCAACAAACATGGCCGTGGCCATGTCAAGTTCATCCGCTGCTCTAACTGTGGAAAATGTTGCCCTAAGGTGCCTCAAAGTTTTTCATACCCGGGTCTTTGTTGGTTTTTTTTAATATTATTAATATTATGTATATATGGTTTTCTCATTTGTTTCTTTTTTCTCCTTGTTCCGAATGTGTAAAGGATAAGTCAATCAAGAGGTTTCTTGTGAGGAACATTGTGGAGCAAGCTGCTGTCAGGGATGTCCAGGAAGCCTGCGTCTATGACTGTAATTTTTTGGGTTCAATTCCTCAATTATAAGTGGAATTTATTCATTAAATTTCTTGCTTTTGGATTTATTGTTTGATTAATGTTATGTAGCGTACACTTTGCCCAAGCTGTATGTGAAGATGCAGTACTGTGTTTCATGTGCGATCCATTCCCACGTTGTGAGGGTCCGATCCCGCACTAACAGGAGGAACCGTGACCCACCTCAGCGCTTCATTAGACGCAGGGTACATCTTTTTATAATCCATTGTCTCATGCTTTTCACTATCAATGATCCATTTTGTTGTGTGAATGAAATGTGGTATTTAACTCCATGGATTTTGTAACCTATGAATTATATATATTCATTGAAGTGTCTTATGGAAATTCTTCAGTGACTGCTCGTCTGCCCCTTTAGCAGATGCCTTTTCTGGTGTCTTACCATCATCTGGGATTGGAAATGTTGCGGATCTATTATCAAATGATATATTGAAGTCATCCATAGGACCAGAGAACTTTACTGATTTTTATCCACTACCGACTTTAGAGATTCTCTCTACTATGTTATGATGATGTAATTCTTTAGAGGCTTATGTCTTCCCCTTTTGCAGAACTTTCTAAGTGCTTTAGGGATGAAGAGGTCCCTTGTACACAATATCCAACTAAATCACTTTCTCAGAAATGCATTGAGCCAATAGAATTTATAAGTGGAGGCCATTCATAGAGACGAAAGGGATAGTAGAATTTAGCTACACCTGAACCATGACTATAATATTTTGATTGTGATCCATGTGCATGCATCATTAAAGCGGTTCTTTGCCTTGAACAAGGCACTAGTTTGCTCCTTTATCTGGAATTTTAATTGCTTTCGGGATGAATCTTTCAGTAACATCCATCTAAATCACTTTGTTGGTTCCCATTCCTAGTAGCACACTGATCATAATAAGATGGAAGAAGGCTTCAAATAGATGATACATGGCATGTATCTGTTGGTGTTGGGGATCGGGTGTCATTTGCATATAGCATCCTTGGTTTGCTGAAGTTTTTTTCTCTGTTCTCCCATTAATAAGAAATATGATGGCTTTGCTCAGAAAAATCTAATTACATAGTACACTATCTATGGTTGGTAGTTTCAGTATCTCGATTTCTGTCTGCAATTTCCTTTTTGTCTTCTTTTGGAAGCTTCATTAATTATATTTGTTATTTCAAATTTTTCAGGATGACATGCCAAAGCCTGGCCAGCCTGGTCAGGCTCCTCGTCCTGGAGTTGCTGTTCCTGCTCGTCCATAAGGCTTTTCAAGTTTAAGATTATTTAGTATTTTGCTTTAAGATATGGTATGCTTGAACTTGGATTTTATAGGATGTTTCTTTTTCTTATTGGTTGAAATTCAATTGAGTTCAACACATTGTTAAATCCCGAAGCTGAGTGGCTGGGAATACTAGTTTATTGTGGCATATGTTTTTATTAGTAATATTCTGTGCAAGTATCAAAGGATACAATTATATATAAATATTCAGTAAGTACTTAAAGATATGACTAAAAAGATTCAGGTTTTAACACTGTCATTTTATCACCTTTTCTTTGGTAGCTTCCCTCGATTTATTCTGAGCAAGACCCTGAAAACAGGTCCATGGTAAGAGTAGCTTGAAAAAAGTGGTGTTGCACGATAGCCGAGCACAGAAGCCCATAAAGGACTTGTAAACCAAGCTCGTTTGCTTACGACATTGGACATGCATATGCTCCAAATGCTTCTGACGGTACATACCCACAAAAGACGATCATTATCCTATCAGAGGCAAGTAAAACAAAAGTATCCAATGTCACGGTTACATACATTCCTAATCCAATTCACGAGTAAGCATAATCATAGAAAAAATAATCGACTAATAAATCGGAAATAGAAGATTTTACCAAACAATATCTCAAAAATAATAATCGATTAATAAATCGGATACCGATGATTATACCAAACAATATCATATAGATATGTTAAATAAAAAAATCACAAGTGAACGAACATATTACAATCCATAACACATTAATCAAAGGAAATGCTAACGAAAACCTACAACATTATCTAAAAATCTATTGAGATATTGTATTTAAAGTATATAACTTAATTTTGTACATTTTACTAATAGATAGTAATGTCCGAATCAAATTTGAGGTTTCATATTTGGTTATATCAGAACATTTGAGTATGAAATTCGAGGGGAATCGAACCTGGGTTCTTTGGGCATGTGGCTCTATTACCCTAAATGCTCCAATACTATTAAATTCAACAATTTGCTATAGACATCTTCCTCATGTGTCAAAATAGAGTTCAACAATCTTGAACAATCTAATTCATGTTTAATCTCAAGTTAGTTTTATAATATTTGATATTTCTTTAATAAAATATAATTACACTAATATTATGTTTTACATAAAAATCAATTAATAATTTAATATGTAATTATGAGATTCATTAATTGGGTCTGAATGACAAGGATATTTATGTTATTATATTTTGCGTGGGTTCAAATTTCGATATTTACTTAAAAATGTAATACTCTCTGCTTAATCAAAATAATAATAATACTAACTAGCAGAATAATTAATCAGAGTGGAATCTATTAAACTCAAATGCATAAGAGATGAAACTTGATCACATTTATACAAAAGCAAGTGTTGGACATTATCAATTAGTAAGAACTCCATTTGTATATATTTTGGTCAGCATAAATAATCCTCAATTCTTGGATTCCAGTTATATTAAATCACAATTATATATAGATGGATAAAAAAACTGTTTATAAAATCCTGTATTCTGTAATCACCCTATACACACTCAAGAACCCCCCCCCCCCCCCCCCCCGAGTAACATGGGATTTAATTTGAACTGATCTGCCTTGGTTGACCTACGTTTTGATGTCATTGCTTCTTCTGCTCGGCCCAGACGTCGGCACATTTCCGCCCTTGGGAAGCATGCTCAGAAACATGGGCCCATACTTTCCGGCCAGTTTTTGAGTCGGCGACCTCAGAAACCCGACTTGTAAGTTCTTGAATGGAACCATATGATCACACGGGACAGCTGTCGACTTAGGATCTTGCTCCGGTTTGTCCGAGCCATCGACGGCAACAGGAAGAGGAATGTTCGAGGTTGGCCGTGTAGCTGACGGATTACCATTGAGAAGCCTAGCTGAAGAAACCGAAGTAGATGAGAAGATGAATAAGAGGAAGAAGACAAGTAATGCTATGCGCTGAAAATATTTCTGGGTTTTGTTGGAGGACGCCATTAAGGAGAGATGGTTGGCTTTGGATGTATCAGAAGATTATAATTTTATATAGGGAGAGGGAGAGGTGGGTTGATGAAACGAAATCGTTGTTGTGGAATTGACGTTGAAGTTCAATTTTAAGTCATCAAACTGTTGGAAAAATGCAAGTTTACGCGCTAATACATTGACTTAATTATATTCTTCTCTAATTAATTTTCCTTAATTCATTTTCATCTGAGATCAGTTTTTTACTCATCTTTTTCCGTAATACTAATATTTACAATTTTAATTCGTTTTCATAACATTAACAATTGATGTCATGCCACATATAAAAGTCGTTAGAATATATATTAGCTTTGAATATACATTGTAATTAATTTCACAAGAAAAACTGAAGATTTAAGTGTGGAAGAAGAAAATTTTTTAGAACACGATGAAAAAAAGATAGTTATTATCTTTAGATATCTTAAGTTCAAGTATAAAAAATTATAAGAGTAATTGAGTTTTTATTGTCAAAATATTAAAAAAATTTAGAACAAATATTATTTTATAATTACTTAAGATTAATAAAAAATTATAATTAATATATAGGAGGAATTGGTCAATTTTTTTTTAATTTTTTTTGAAGCAGACATGACACATCTATCTTTGAAAACGGATAAAAGGACAATAGTAGAGTCAAATAAGGCAAGTTCCATGTATTAGTCTAATATTGCACCAAATGGCGAGTGGTATTGCCTATTCAAATTATTTTAATTGGGATTCAATGGCTTATTTAAAGAAATCATAAAAATTAAACAACTAATTACGAGTGAGAATTATTAGAAAAATATGTCACTTTAAATGGTTTAGTGTAAGATTATCTTCAAATAAATATGATATTGTTTAAATTATTGTACGGTGGTTTAAAGTGTATTTTACAATAAAAAGTCATAAAAATCACAACTTTATCAAAATTATAAGCAGATGTCGGTGACTTTAATGAGAAGGATTAAAATAAAAGAAAATAGTAACTAAAATGAAAGAAACGAAGAAAATAAAAATTACAAGGACAATACACATAAGGAAAGACATGCATGTTCATCACATGTGAATACGGATTAAGTAGGGAACGAGGACAACATATGTATATAAATTTTGATTTCAATCATTCAAATTGTATAAACACTATATTAAAACAAGAGTTGTTTTATGTATTTTACCATTTTTATTGATGTGTTGTTTGTACTTTCCAACTATACCCGAAAATCGTTTTAGAGTTTTGATCCTAAAAGGACATTTTTAATATTTTGATTTTCAATCGAGTCATTAGAAAGGCCAAATGGTAATTAGTTTTAATTTTAATACTTTATGTACATTAATGCAAACAAGGATCATAGAAGTTATTTTCATCATACATAGGAACCGGATGCATGAATTTCATGCATATACATATTAGGGTCAGTACATATGAACACCGAATCAATAATTGTACGATTAACAAACAAATTAAAATAAATTATGTATGCATGCTACATGAATTTCACACTTCAAAGCAGACAAATTTAGGGAAAGTACGTATGAGGTGGCTATGCTTAGTTATTTATTACTTTAAACAAACAGGAGATATGCAAACACATGAGGTGAGTCATGTGGGAGGAAGCACGACGAAGACGAAAGAGCTGAGTTTATCCATGTACATTAATATATCATCTCCTATATAATTAATTATTTCACTAATATATATATCTTTTGTTCTTATAATCGCATTGTGGTCAAGATATTGGGTCCAGAAAAAATAATTAATGAAGTTGGTTGGAACCGCTGAGTCTCATCAGTTAATTAACCAACCATGACCAGGTCTGAGTCCACGTTAATTCATGTTATTTATACAATTTTTAAGAATCATAATCTTGCTTAATGAATTTTATATGTTTATAAACGTTTTTACACGGTAACGATTTACAGTAATTTAAACGTTTTGATCTAATTATTAACATCGCTAATATATTTTTTTGGTTAAATTTCATTAAGTTAGATATGTTTATCTTTTGTTAAATTCAAGGAGCTGTCTTTTTGTTTTTCAACATAAGAGAAATGCACATACTTATCTCTCTTTAGAATACGAGACGTGCCACATGCTTAAGCTTTTTACAATTACACACCGTGTGTGTCTATAATTTTGGATGATGTTTGGGTGGATAGTGGGTAGATCGTGGATTGGGAAGAGCAGGAAAACTATCCTCAAGAGATTCTGAATTTATTGAAAAGAACCATCTCTCCTCAAATCCCAATGCTTCATTAGCACACAACTTTTATCAAACTATTACCACCATCATTCACATTTTCCAATACCCTGTAAACAAGTTTGGGATTCCTATTTTTATTTAGTCATGCTATTTGAGCAGTTCAACCCAATGATGGAATGAGGGAGGAGCTGTTATCCTATAAAGATTTTAAATTTTCAAATATTTGCGTCCTCTAAATATCCTCTAAAACATTATTAAATTCGTCTCGTCTAATATAAAATTATACGTATGTTCTTAATCTAAACTTCTCTAAGATTTGACACAACAACAGAAAACAGAAGAAAAACCCGAATATTTGTGATATTTGAGCCCAGGTTTTGGAGTCCCACAGCAACAGTTACAGGCTGCTTGATGTTGCATGTCATGGGAAGGACAGTGGGCCATTCCCTTTTCGGTTCCAATAATCAAGGCCAATTATAACTTCTGAGAAATAGATCTGGGAAGTAATAATCAGACATAGTTTCTCTTGGAAACTGTTGAGACCATGGTTTCAAAAAAAATGTTCTGCGACCGCGATTTCGTCCGTGATATAGCGGTTTCGCCGCCGTCCGGGTTACCTGCAATAGCGTCCGCAACGCCGCGACGCCCACAATCACGGTACACCCGAAATGACCAAAAACGCGACCGCGATTTGAAACCCTGGTTGAGACTTATTTGGTAATAGTGAAAAGTGATCTGTTCTTTTTGCAAATCTGAAACCGAGTTTCATACAGGCATTTTGTCATCATATTTGGAGAGTTTTCATAGAAGAGTTCAACCATAAATTTCATTTTAGTAGAGAAAGGAAAAGCTTAACCCCAAGGTTCATGCCCTTACTTGCTATAAGGTTGTCTTGACCTTATTATAAGCAAATAGACAAACCGAAGTAATTGTGTAACTTAAAGCTATGCGAGAATCATATTTCACCTACCATTGAGATGGATATGAACAACTATTTGGATCTTTTGTCAAACTTGGTGCACAATTTGGAATTGGGCAGTCCCTTTAGCTTTTCCAACTTTTATTCTAGTGAATCTTGTCAAAGTCTAAACCTACTACCCTAAAAGACCAAAGCTTCTTTCACCAGCATTCTCTTCCACAACCCCACTTTAAATGGCTGCTAAGTTGTTGCTTTCCACTGCTGAATGTGACTTCAAACCCTCAGAATTAATGTTTTGTAGGTAGAAATCATATCACAATGCATCATCCTGCTGAATGATTTACTTTTGATGTGATGAACATGGCACGGAAAGACCATAAGTCCAAGTGCCGATATTCCCGCCCACGATATGCTATTTCTTTATCATAAAGCATGCTCCTTTATCCACCCATTTTCACAGAATCAAATATATAGCTTCTCTCCACGTTCTCTAATCCATCTCCTTTTCTTATACTATGGTTTTTTAATTCCAAGTTTGATTCTGTTTTACTGAAAGCATTCGCCATTGTCGGTTGGGACACGACTGTTTAGAGCTCCCGGTCTGTTCATTTAATCTTCACATCCATCCAAAACAGCCGTTTCTTGCTGTCCTTTATCCTAATCCATCGTATCATTTCATAAAAATCAAATCTTTTCACATGCTTATAGGTTCACATTTCACATATATATCAGTTGACATTATGAAAGCTCCAATCTTGTGTAGATAGAGCTATATATGCAACGGAAGGTTTCCAATTGGTGGCAGATCCTTCAGAAGAAAGACCCGGGTAAATTTCTCTAATATTTATTAAGTTGTATTTGTTTCAGTAAATGGTTAAAGGTATGGGTTTTTTTTCCACGGCAAAGATTGCAACTTTGTTTACCTCTGTTATGGATTGAGAGGTGCTACACTCGTTTCCAGAATGAAGTTTAAATATTGATAGAAAAATAGGGAGTCGGTACAAAAGATAAACATAGTAACAATGGTTTGGAGATGATGTAATCAAGAGGCTATTTTATCATAAAAGACAAATTGCATATGAATTCATCTCATTGGCTTCTCCAATTCACATGGGCTGTTCATCATGTATTCATAGTCTTCATTTGCAATTAACTCTGTGTTTAAGAACTTCAATGGGGAGGGGTAAATTAGTTTTCCATTGTTTTCTTTCATTTGCTTTTAAAGTTACTACGAAACCCCATTAATTTAATGAAATTAATAATATAATAGTAACTTTTTTTTTTTGGATAATTCAAATATTATTACCCAATGAAGCAGAGTTCTCCTACAAAACCAATCACCAACAAAAGCCTATATACAACTATACAAAAAGAAATGATCGGTTAGATAATACCCCAAGAATTACACTGTGTGAAATTAACACTTTCAATTATATTAATATTTTTTCCTCTTAATTGTATTCCTACGACTTCCTTTATGACTTTAAGATCTTCTAGTGATCGTGTACGACCTTGGAATATTCTTCGATTCCTTTCCTCCCAAAGAGTGTAGATAAAAGCACACCTTGCTAGCTTCAATATTGTGGTGAGAAGAGATTTTCCTTTCCATACCTCGCAAGCCCACGTTTCCATGTCAACCCATGATGCTGCAGAATTACTCAACCCATTCCGGTTCAATATCGCGTCCCATAAGAAAGCAGTAGTCAAACAGTGGAAGAACAAATGGTCCCTTGTTTCTAAAGCATTGTTGCATAAAACACAATTTCCTTCAGTGGTGATGCCCATTCGTTGAAGTCTTACTCTTGTTGGAAGTCTATCCAAGTGAGCCATCCACGCTATCAAGCTGTGTTTCGGGATGTGTTGTGGAAACCAGACTAGTTTCTGCCAAGAAACTTTATCCCCCTTCTTCCGGACCTCTTCCCATATGTCTCAGATATGAGTAATACCGGCTGAAATGATAGGTTGCGCTTCAGCCCTTAATTTCAGCAGTCTATTGAAGCACCAACTTGCATTTGAGCGAGTCTGTAGATGCCAAAAATTAGTTCCCTTCATAACATATTCTTTAAGCCATGCAACCCATAGAGAACCTTCGCCCAAGAGAATTTTTCTGATGAGTTGTAAGAGACGAGCTTTGTTCCATGATTTTATATTCTTCAATCCAAGACCTCCTTCTGATTTTGAAAGACATATTTTATCCCAGCTTATCCTTGCTCCCGAAGCGGCTTTATCGTCCCCTTTCCAGAAGAAGCGGGAACAGAGCTGATCAATTTTGTTTAATATGGATTGGGGTAGTACAAGTTGTCTACACCAGTAATTCGCAACACTAAACAGAACTGATCGGATGAGTTCCAGTCTGCCAGCATAGCTTAATTTCTTTCCTACCCAATGATGAAGCCTAGCTTTGATTTTCTCAATAAAAATAACAGTCTTTTTCGGTTAGCTTTCGAGTAACAAGTGGAACTCCTAAGTATCTCACAGGCAAGGTACCAAGATTGAATCCAGAAATCTGCTTGATAGTATCTAAAGTTCGAGTAGAAATTCCAGCAGCAAAAAATTCTGTTTTAGAAACATTAAGCTTTAGACCAGACATTTCATGAAATTTATCAAGGACACTAACGATACCAACAATAGATTCAACATTTCCTTTGCAAAAAATCAACAAATAATCAGCAAAGGATAAGTGAGTAAGACCGATCTTCTTGCATTTAGGGTGAAAGCCAAAAATACCTCGTGTTGCTGCCAAATTAAGCAATCTGGAAAGCACGTTCATAGAGAGAACAAATAAGAAAGGTGAAAGAGGGTCACCCTGTCTTATTCCTCTAGCTCCCTTGAAATAACCAATTAAGCTCCCGTTGAACGAAATGGAGAAACTAGCTTGGGTAAAGCAAGCTTCAATCCATGCAATAAACATCCTCGGAAGATAGAGAGCTCCGAGAATGTTAGAAATGAACCCCCAATGAAGCGAATCAAAGGCTTTATGGAGATCAATTTTCAATGAGCATCTTGGGGAAATGGTTTTCCTTCCATAGCCTTTAACTATTTCTTGGGCGAGAAGTGTATTTTCAACTATGCTTCTTCCTTTGATAAACGATGTCTGGTTCAAAGTTATCATGTCTGGAAGATGGTTTGTCAGTCTTTTAACTAGAATCTTGGTGATAGCTTTGTAGATCACTGAGCAACATGAGATGGGGCGAAAGTCCTTAACAGATTTAGGGTTAGGAACTTTAGGAACTAAAGCTAAGATTGTAGAATTAAAAGCAGGCAGAAGTTGAGAATGCAAAAAGAAATATTGGACAGCAGCCACTACATCATCACCAATTAAAGGCCATGCTTTCTTGAAGAAAAGAGGGGTGAAGCCCTCTGGACCAGGTGCTTTATCGTTTCCTTGGCAAAAGAAGGCTTCCTTGATCTCTTCATTGGATACCACCTTAGTAAGATTAGAAGCTGCTTCTGAAGGCAAAGCAAATTGGAGAAGTTCCTTGAGAATACGAGGGTCTGTTTCTTTAACCCCTGGATCAACAGAACCGATTAAGTTAGAGAAGAAATCAGTCACTTCGGCAGCCATTTCGTCGAATGTTTCAAGTGTCTGACCCTGCTCATTAATCAGCACCCGAATAGTGTCCCTTTTATTCTTAATAGCAACCCTTGAATGGAAGAATTTGGAGCATTTATCTCCATCCTTAAGCCATTTCACTTTGGCTTTTTGTTTGAGAAACAAAAGTTCTGCATCTTCCAGAGTACTCAGCTCTGATTGTAATATTAACTCCTTTTCAAGAGTGTCTTCACCTTTTAACGTGAGAATCTGTTGAAGCTCCAACTCACTTCGCTTTTGTCTTACACGGGCCGAGAGGTCACTAAAGCTATCTCTATTTAAATTCTTTAGGCAGCTTTTGAGTCTCTTCAATTTCAAGAAAAGGATCTTCATTGGATTACCATGAATAGGTTCTTGCCGCGAATGCCTAAACTCATTCATAAAGTTCGGGTGAAGTGTCCAAAAATTGAAGAATTTAAACGGCTTCGGTCTATTACAAGGGATCCCCTTCGAAAGCCAAACAATGGACATACAATGATCTGAAATTCCTGGAGAAGTAAATTCAACAAAAGATTGAAGGAAGAACAATTAGGATTGATCAGAACCCTATCTAATTTTCGTGCCAGAAAGGATTCTTTCTGTTTGTTATTCCAAGTGAAGGAAGGACCGAAATAAGGGTGGTCTTGAAGGTCCAGCTCGTGGATGAAGCCTTGGAAATCTTTCATATCAGAAGTAAGATAGTGGCCTAAAATCTCATGGTCCGAGCTTTCAACAGAATGCAGAAAAGCATTAAAGTCCCCTCCTAAAATCCAAGGGGAGTGATTAACAACATTGTCCAGATCTCGAAGTTGGTTCCATAATTGTATTCGAATTGTTCCCTCATTACTTCCATAAATTGCCGAAATGAACAGAGGAGCCCCAAGGTAGTTTCCTTTAACAGTGATACTCTGATCAGTAACATGAATGATGGAAAGATCGATACATTTCCTCCAAAGTACCCAACTTCTCCCATTTAGAGCGTGATTGTAATTAGTACAAACATTCCAATTTGCAAACTTTGTCTTGAAAATAATCTCTGACTTATCTAATTTGGCCCTTGTCTCCAGTAAACACAAAACATCAATTTTGTAGTGGTATGCTCTTTGAACAACTCTATCTTGTTTCAGAAGTTTATTAAGACCTCTTACATTCCAAAAACTAAGTATCATTTAGATGATGATCCGGCTGTACCCCCATTACCTTCAACTACAATGCTGTGAGCTTTATCTATGTGTTCTCTCTTCTTCGATTTTAACTCATTTACCAAGCCTGCCACTCCCAAAGAAGCAGTACGAACTTTCCTTGGAGGTCGATTTGCACTTTGTGAATTTTCTTCAACTGTAGTGAGAACCTCAAACCTATTTTTTGAACCTACAAGTGAAGCTTTTGAATTTTCTTTAATAGGTTTTCCTCTTCCCCGTTTAAGGGTTGTTTTTTGAGTGACTAACTTTTCTTCCTCAATTGAATCATTAAGGTCTTTTAAATGTTTTTCTCCATCATCAACTAAGTCTTCAGAGACACTTGCTGTAGGTTGAATTTCAGTGTGCTCTTTAAGATCATCTTGAGCTTTGGAATCTGTTTTGGTCTCATTGAGGTCTGGATCAATAACGAAAACAGTATTCAGAGGATTTTGATTCTGAATTTCAGATAGCTTAGGTTCAGAATTCTGGGATTCCTGAAGAAGTTCAACTCCTCCTATTGATGGGGAACCAGAATCTGAGTTATAAACTTCCTTCTTTTTCCAAACTTGGGGAGCTGTTGAGGCAGGATTTTGTTTATGCAAGCATCCCTTTTCCGAGTGGCCGAAGACTTTACATTTCCTGTAGGATGGAGGAAGCCACGGAATTTCCACTAGAATCGAAGTGGGATGGCCATCTTTCAGAACAACTTCGATATAATTTGGAATTACTTCGTTAACCCCAATTTCAACACAGAGTTTTGCATATTCAAGTCTGGATTTCGAAGCTGTAATCGAATCTATAGAAAGGGGTACTCCTATAGCGCTCGCTATGTAACTAAGACCAGCTCGGTTAAATAATTCAAGAGCGACGTTATACAGGTGCACCCAAACTGGAATTCTAGCCAAATTGAAACTAAGTTTTTTCAAATTAGGCTCCCATTTCCTAAGTATCAATGGTTTGTTTTGTGTGTGCCATGGACCGTTCTCTAACACCCAATCCCTAGCTGAAACAGAATTGAAAGAGAAAATGAAGAGATTACTACCAGCAGAACTCACCTTGACTTGTGAACCTTGTAAAGCTTTGTTCCACAATGTAACGACAATTCGTTGAAGAGAAGAGAAATTGGGTGTTGCTCCCAGGAATTGTCCTACCAGAGATAATTCCCATTCAGAAATTCCAGCATCGAGGACCTCTGGAGGGGGAAGAACAACCGGGTTCCCGTCGCGATGCTTTGGGGGAAAATAATCAAGGGTTTGTTCTGTAGAGTTCCCAAACAATTTCCGCCAGTCCATCTGTTCTCCCATTTCCTCTCAACTCAAATTCTCATATTGATTCATAGTGGCATATTGAAAAGTTTTAGTGTTTAATTTTGATTGAAATCTGAAGGGATTAAAAGATTTTTCGATCAATTTTAAATAAAAAAAAAAGAAAGAAAAAAGAAGAGTAATAGTAACTTTACCTTTCGTTTTAACTGCCAGAAAACACTTCCCAGCTTTATCGAGCCAAAGAAAATGGAAGGGTTTGCTAAGAAAGAGAAAGCTGTGGTCTTGTGGGGTAACAGTTAATTCATTGAATAAAAATGGGCCTTCAGTGTTTGGCTGTTGGTGTGATGTGATGCAGTTGTCCTTAAATCACGTGATTGTGTCATCAATGAAGATTGTCTCTTTCCTGGCCTGATGAAAAACAATGGTTAAATTTGCTTATTTTATAATATTATTATATAAGTTTTACGGTTACATTGATTTTTCCTGATTGTTTTTATCTTCTGCTTCCTTGTCCTGTATTGGTTCTAAGTTAGATTAAGAACTTAAGAAACAATGGAGTATCCGTTTCTTCCACCTTTTATCATCCATAGAAATAAAAAATATTTTATATAAAAGAAATGCAGAGGAAAATAGTGGAGGGCCCTTTTGCATTTAAGGATTCTGTAAGTATAATGCAAGTGCAGTTGAGCTTCAATCCTATTTAAGATTCCATATATTTTCAAGTAATTGGAATCTGGGAGTTACTTGGCTTTCATGTTTTCTTACGTACAGTGAGGTTTTCAAAAAGCTCGGGTGGAAGATGATGTTATAGAGGTATGGAAGCCATGTAGGTGAATGAGACAGGCTTTTTGTCTCTCCTCTATTTGCGGCTCTGTAAAGAGGCGATATGAGCGAATATGTCCTCGGAATTTTCGTCATCTTCTTTTCTTTTTTAATTGTTTTTTTTTCTTTTTCAAATTCATGGTGTTTGATCTTACCACTAATGTTTGGCAGATAGTTTAAGTGTGCTAAATTGGAGTCACTTGCAAGAAACTCTGGCTGAAAATTGAGGCATAATTATCATGGATCTTGAGCATGGCAAGCCCTTAGATACTTCAAAGGTTTGTGCTGTGTGCATATATCCCCAACTTCAAGTTATTAGTTATTTTGTTTCTTGTTTTTTTCTGGTAGGCTTAGATTATATGGTTGAAGGATTTATGCTGTTATCGATTGAAGGAGAGTTGCTTATTCTAGAATTGTGTTGCAGAAGGGTTCTTGGAAGACTGCATTGCTTTTCGCGTACCAAAGCCTTGGTGTAGTTTACGGGGACCTCAGCACTTCCCCTCTTTATGTTTACAAGAGCACATTTGCTGAAGATATTCAACATTCGGAGACAAATGAAGAGATTTATGGTGTTCTGTCCTTTGTGTTCTGGACTCTTACTCTTGTCCCCTTATTCAAATATGTGTTTGTGGTTCTTCGGGCGGATGACAACGGAGAAGGTATGTATTTAAGCAATTGTGTCTTCCGTAATGTTTATCCATTAAAGATTAAACTGAAACCTTTTATTCATTGCAGGAGGGACTTTTGCGTTGTATTCTCTCATATGCCGACATGCAAAAGTCAGTCTTCTGCCCAACAGACAGGTCGCGGATGAAGCGGTCTCGACATATAAACTTGAGCACCCTCCTGAGAAAAAAAGCAGTTCAAGAGTTAAATTATACCTTGAGAAGCATAAGATCTTGCACACTGCTTTATTAATCTTGGTTCTCCTAGGTACTTGTATGGTAATAGGAGACGGTGTTCTCACCCCAGCAATTTCGGGTAAACCTCTTTGCAGTCAGTTACTTAAATTTGCAACTGATTTTTCCCAGCCACCGACTAATTAAATATATTCTTCTGAATGTAGTTTTCTCTGCCGTGTCCGGCCTCGAGTTATCCATGTCTAAGGAGCATCACCAGTGTAAGCCCCTCACTCAGCTTGCTATCTTAGATCTTCTCATATATAAATAACATTAAATTGCAACCCTGAAAACTCATAAAACTGCATAATAGTCCAAATCGCCAGCACATGGTCATAACTACCTTTAGAAAAGATTAACACGTCATCTGCAAAGCACAGATGGGTTAATATTACTCTTTGGCATTTGGGTTGATACCTAAACAGGCCATAAGAAGCAGTTTTCACCGTCTCTAATCTTGCAATAGACTGTTTTTCTGAGTCTTCTATTTTCTTCCATCCAAAGATCCTGTCGCCCTTCAAAATATTACATGCCAGGTTTTGTTTTCAAGTTAGCTCTGCCCTGATATCTGAAACCCATGCTCTCTCATTTACAGATGCAGTTATTCCAATTACATGCTTCATTTTGGTGTGTCTTTTCGCACTTCAACACTATGGCACACATCGGGTTGGATTTTTCTTTGCTCCAATAGTGTTAACTTGGCTACTTTGCATCAGTGCCCTTGGCTTATACAATATGATCCACTGGAATCCACATGTCTATAAAGCTCTTTCTCCATATTACATGTTCAAATTCTTGAAGAAGACAAGGAAAGGTGGATGGATGTCTTTAGGAGGCATACTTCTCTGCATAACTGGTGAGTTTGAAACATATTTTAGTAAATTTTCATGCTGCGATGTGTCTTACTTCTCTGAAGGTAGGTTCAATGTAATATCCTTAGCTCAAAGTAATCCATGCCTCACAGTTATGATAGCTCATTTTTGACATTAGCATATCAAGTATGTTAGTAATGTGGAGCAAAACCTTTTTCACAATTTGCATAGAGTTAACCAGCAAATGAATACATATCATTGATAACAGGATCTGATTAGGCTGTAAAAATTCAAAAGTTTTACTCACGCTCAAAGCTGGACAGGTTATCCTATCATTCGAGCTAAACATTTCGCATTATCTGATTTGCAAGGGCCCATTATACATGCTGCTGTTAACTTAGAATAACAAGAACTCTGTTCCACATCCATTTATTAATTGGTCTTCAAGCAAAGTTGTTGGTTTTGAATTTTGTTGAGACGAGATATATGGATAACTAATACCATAGGTTAAGTTTGGTTCAATGTGAAAATTGACAACCAACGAATGCCAATATTCTATTTATTATCCGTGCAGGCTCGGAGGCAATGTTTGCTGATCTTGGTCACTTCTCTTACGCTGCAATTCAGGTAACTCAACGCTAATACTCTTATAAATGTCGATTTAGTCGGTTGGATTACCAATTCAACGTGAGTTCACAATATACTACTAAAATGAAATTTAACCTTTGTCATGCTGCAGACTGCTTTCACCTTTCTGGTTTATCCAGCTCTTATATTGGCATATATGGGTCAAGCTGCTTATTTGTCTCGACATCATAATACAAGTTACCAGATCAGTTTCTATGTCTCAGTTCCAGGTATAACTCATCATCTGTTTTAAAAAACGGTAGGAAGCTGATTGATGAAATTGGACATATGAATTCAAGCTCCATCCCTTTTCTTCAAGAGCTAAGAAATACTGTAAGAACTTAAATGGTGTTTCAATAGGATAACTCCTTAGTTTATCATGTCTCCCCAGCTTAAAAGACATTGCAGTATCTCTTTGTCGGAAGAATATCTGAATTCATGGTTGTCGACAAATAAACTTGATTGCTTAATTTTTGTGTGTGTGTACAGAAAGTGTGAGATGGCCGGTGCTAGTAATAGCAATTTTGGCTTCTGTTGTGGGAAGCCAAGCCATCATTAGCGGAACATTTTCGATCATCAATCAGAGCCAGTCACTTGGTTGTTTTCCTAGAGTCAAGGTTATTCACACCTCTGACAAAATACATGGACAGATTTATATCCCTGAAATAAACTGGGTGCTCATGATCCTTTGCATTGCCGTGACTATTGGATTTAGAGACACAAAACACATGGGCAATGCATCAGGTAAGTTTAAACACCTAAAACTTCATGCACTGCACAAAATAATTTTCCAACATAATATGAAGTCCATTTTCTTATTCTTTTTGAAGATTATTCAATTGGCCTCTACCTGTTAACTAAACTTTAGCTGAAAATGGCTTGAGGAATTAGATCTTTTTTTACATTAGATGATACCATGAAACAGTGAAGTCTGATGCATTAAAGTTCTGCTCTTATTGGTTTCAGGATTGGCAGTGATGACTGTGATGCTGGTGACGACGTGCCTCATGTCCCTCGTTATTACCCTCTGTTGGCACAAACCTCCTGCAGTGGCTCTTGCCTTTCTTCTTTTCTTTGGTTCTATTGAGTTGCTTTACTTCTCAGCTTCACTCACCAAGTTCACTGAAGGTGCTTGGCTCCCTATCCTGTTGGCCCTTTTCCTCATGACAGTCATGTTTGTATGGCATTATGCCACCATCAAGAAATATGAATTTGACCTCCACAATAAGGTGTCACTAGACTGGCTGTTAGCATTGGGTCCAAGCTTAGGAATTGCTAGAGTACCGGGTATTGGCTTAGTTTTTACTGATCTCACCTCGGGAATCCCAGCTAACTTTTCTCGTTTCGTCACTAACCTTCCTGCCTACCACCGTATCCTCGTCTTTGTGTGTGTAAAATCAGTACCTGTGCCTTTTGTGCCCCCAGCTGAGCGCTATCTAGTGGGCCGCGTTGGTCCTGCTGCTCATCGGTCATACAGGTGCATTGTTCGTTACGGATACCGAGATGTACACCAGGATGTTGATTCTTTTGAATCGGAACTAGTTGCCAGACTGGTTGATTTCATCCATTATGATTGGCATCGGAGCCAGCACGCTAGTCCTTATGCTGAAGATGAAGCTTCCAACTCTAATGAATCATCAAGTGGATGTAGATTAGCTGTAATTGGAACAGTTGCATTTTCTGGCGCACCAGCTTATGAAACAGAGGGAAGTATTCAACCAGAAAGTGTATCTATTGGATTTCCTACAGTTCAGAGTGTCACAGATATCGTCGAGATGGAGGCCGTGGGTGGTGTTGAAAGAAGAGTTAGATTTGCCATCGATGATGATGATGAGTCCGAATCTGAAATGGAGGTGCAGCTGAAAGAAGAACTGAAAGATCTATTGGCAGCACAAGAAGCAGGGACGGCATTCATACTAGGACACTCACATGTGGAAGCAAAGCAAGGATCATGTGTTTTAAAGAGGTTGGCCATTAATCTTGGGTACAACTTATTGAGAAGGAATTGCAGGGGACCAGATGTTGCACTCAAGGTGCCTCCGGTGTCTTTATTAGAGGTCGGCATGGTTTATGTTGTCTGAGCTTTCTCATCTCATGTAGCTACTACTACTTTGTATCTTTATGATATTATATATATTACAGAAAGAAGGTGATGAGAAGGCTGGCCTGTAGAGAAGGTTAGACAACTTGTTTAAGAGTAATTCACCTCTTTCTTTATGTTGGATGCTATACAGAATTGGGATTACTATTTGTGAAAGTGTATGTAAGTTATGCCATTCTCAAGTTCAACACACCCTCTACTCCTTTTACCAATATACATCATGTTTGGTTGGAGAAATCAGAAATGGATTATTCCATTTCTCAAGTGAGGTAGAATGGACCATTCAATGGAATGCTCATTCCCTCCCTATTCCAATAGCAGTTAAACTATCATGGCTTCCAATTTAGTTTCACCATGTGCAGCGGACACCCCAGCACCAGCATGCCAGCAGCTTAGTGGAAATAGGGTGACCAAAGGGCAGAAAACCAGTATCACGGCCATGGCTGCCAATCCACCTGCAATCCACTACCGTTAAGAAGCCAGTAGTGGCTTTGGTTCGACTTCGATGATACCACACCATCTTCTTACAGCCAGTGCCAAATGAAACAAAACAATGGTGGTGGGCGCTTATCCCGACATAAAATTGGAAAATTATACCAGGGATTCATATACACAGAGGATCAGTTTGAGAACCATTCTGGTGCACGTGTAACATTGGATAAGTACTTTTGGGCAGGGCCTACGCCTGAATTACTCGACAAAAAAATCTATAATGGGGAGACCAGCGAGTTTATGCAGAAAGCCGACTCCAGAGGTTCAGTTGGAGCAGTTGGATATATATTCCCAGACAATTCAATAATCCTATCGAGACATCCACCGTTTGATGATATACTTGGTACAATTATTTCAGAAGATAATGCTTACTCGATAGGATAATTGAATCGGTGCCGGGATCCTAGTTTAATGTCATACATCTAAAAGAGAACTATGATTTCCGCAACAATTATAAATGTCCACAATCACACCATCTCTAACCTATTATATGTTGTTTTTTGGATGATATGTTCGTTTGGACTAGGAAAACAACTCAGCTTCTACACTACATGCTTTCAAGTGAAATGAATTTTTCACCTCATGTTCAAATGAATACATCAAACTCTGATTATATATTCTTTCAAGGAGTGCAACATCTAAGGTTAGTTTATACTGTTCTCTACACAAAATACAATTACATGATCAAAACTGCTCACCAGTCTTCTCAAGGGATAATATTCTTTATAGTAACAATGAAAAAAGTAGGCAGCAGTCTACATTTTGTGCAAAAGAATGATTACATATCAAATAATATACCACAGTACGCAACGCAGATTTTCATCAAATTTTAATGTGAAACCAGTCACCAGGTACAGAAAGTATACAAAACCTGATATTTTTCTCCTCAATTTGTGATTTTACATCCTAGTTGAGGATGTCCGATTTATCCTCTGTGCACCCAATCTGGGAGCAGCTGCTTTAGTTCCTCTGCCTCTTCCCGCTGATAAAGGCTTTGCCTTGGTTGTTGGAGGGGGAGCTGCAATAGCTGCCCAGGGATCATCATCATCAACTGCTCCACCTGCTTTTACATTCAATGGTTTTGAAGCAGATTTTGGAGGAGGAGCTGCTATCGAACCCCACAAGTCATCATCTTCATCTTTAGCCACCTTCACTGTACTTTTCGGTCTCAAACTCGCAGAAGCTAAAGCAAAGAAACAGAGCAGACAAACCAAAATGTAAATCTACAAATTTTCAAAAATACCTCATTAAACAAGTACATTTCCCATCTTGGACCATAAACATTAAGGCTGGAGATTTATTTCCTATATTACACGACTGAATGTAGAATAATACTACCTTGTGGTTTAGGCTGTGAAACAGGACGCTTCTGAACTGCCTGAATATTTGCCAAGGCTGGAGATGGCTTTGGCTCATCAAGGGGTTCAATATCATCCCATCCATCTTTATCACTGTCCTGTTCTTCATGAATGCCATTTTCAATTTCTCCCCATCCATCGGTTGAAGTAGGAGATGGAGGCATGGGTTGATCTGCAAAATCTGTACTGGAACTTACACGGTGGACAGGTGCTGTACTTGGAGTGACTACTAGTACTAAGATTGTCATAGAAAAACAACATCAGAGATGGAATTATTAAATGAAACAACCACATATAATCAGGAAAAAGTAAAGACCAAAAGTGCAGGCATTGTATAACTTATTTCCAAAATAATAGGCTCCAATAATATCATGAAATACCTGGGTTGGATGTAGAGGTTGTGATAGTGGCTGGTGTGATGGAATTGGCAGTAGCAACTGGAGCTTGATCAGAAGCTTTGCCTTTAAGAGTCAAGGAACTCATGGCCCATCTGCATGGTCAGAATCTTAGCAGTCAACAAAAAAAATTACAACCTTGTCAAAGCGATACATCATCCATCAAGTGGCTATAAATTTTTCTGGATTTGCCTTTATAGATCATTAACTAAGATATCTGCTTAAAATTAATGTGCCTGACAAGCAAACAAGTTGTTATATGAAAGTTTTAAGGTCATTTCTACAATGACAACAAGCGATATCACCAACTACAACAATTATTCACAACTTACCCCAGTAAACCGGCATGTCCTGGCATTGATGAAATCCCTAAACTTCCAGCATCAGCAGTATCTCCAACATTACCCTGTAAAGAACAATAGACAAAAAACATTAGTAGAAGAAAATTGTGTACCATAGCTGATATTGAAGATTTCTTAGAACAGATGTTAAATATTAAAATAAAAAAAATTATGCCTGTATAAAGAAATAATAGTTTAGTTTGATACAGATAACGATCATAATACAGCAGAGAACATAAGTGAGAGAGAGAAGTTGAAAAAGAAACATGAGTGAGAGAGAGAAAAACGTAGAGAGAGAGAATTTGAAAGGAAAGTCAGTTCCTAATGAGTGTTGGTCGGCGTTTATCGAAGGGTCTCCCATCGTACGCTTAGGGAATTATTCTTAGTCCATGGTCCTGTTATGAGAGTTTTTATTCCAAGCCAAACTAGAAATCCGAAATACAGATTTTCCACTTTTGCTTTTGTTCATTTTAAGAGGGAGGAAGATCTGAAGAGGGCTGTTGATAAGTTTAACGGGATTGTGATTGATGGAAGGAAGATCTCAGTTAGTCCTGCCAGATTTAAGGATGAACGTTCAAGGTCAAGGGTGGAGCTTTCTTCTTCAAACAAGGTTGCTGGTCAGATTAATGCAGAATCTTCAAAATCAAGAGAAAGAGAACATTAATAGAAGCAGAAGGGATGATAGAACTTATAGGGATGCTCTTGTTGTAATGGGAATAGAAGGGGAACAATGATCTATTGTCTGAGATATCCAGAGGAGAATGTCAAGAAAATATATTGAGATACATATCCCATCAGAAAGTGCCAACTGGGTGAAGAGGTCGTTAACAGGGATTATCAAATACTCTTTTCAAGTTGAGTTCATTCGGAATGCATTAAAAAGAAGGCTATGATTTTCAATTGCTAGATGAGGCTATGTCTGGAATTCTTGTGTGATAGTTCTTAAATCTCATGAGAGATGCTGGAGTTATGGAGCAAAAAGGAAGAGGTTTTAAAACAGTGGTTTGAGCGAGTGGAACCTTTACTAATGAAACCGGTACCAATGGCCTTTTGCATGGCAGAATTAAAAGGGGTTCCTTTGTTATGCTGGAATGAACCCTTCTTCGAGAAGTTGGCTGGTATGGGGCAGTGTGGTAGATATCATCATAGTACAAGGAAAAGAGAAGACCTCACAATGGCAAATTTTATTGAAGGTGGAAAGTCCCTTTGATGTTCCAGAGGTGATTACTCTTGGATCGTATGGAAGATCATTCAAAGTAGTATCAAGATTGGATCAGCTAGTGAGTATTCTAGTTCGTTTTTCAGTAATTTTCCGATGGAGGATTTCGGCGAGATATTTTTTGAAGAGAGTATGTCTGAGAAGGATGAAGACAGATTGTTGTCAGTTCATGGGGAAGGTGAGACTTGCGCAGCAGGGAAAAATCGTCTGTCAGTGAACAATTGGATTGACAAGGGAGTGTTTCGTGTTTCTGGAGGAGCTAGTGAGGACAGACAGCTAGCAAGACTTTCCTTAGATAGGAAAGATATTAATGTGGTCTGTCAGAAAGTCAGACTGTTGGGAATTTTAAAGTTGGTGAGTATGCAGGTTTGGGGATTAGAAGTCAAAATTATTCGGATGATGGATCTCAGGCCCATTCTGAAGACTTTGGGCAGTCTGGGTCAAAATACTTTTCGGGTTTCATTTCTGGGCCAGCATTTACAATTATAATTTGGGAATTGGTTGAAAACCTTCATTTATCAGGAAAAACAGGGGAGTGTCCAATGTATTGGAGACGAGCCCAATTGTAGAGAAGTCATTTAGTGCAGAAATAGAGCCCGAAGAAGAAAATTTAAGACCGATGGAACTGGTTTCAACTAAAACTCAAGGGGGGAGGCAGTTACATTGCTCTAGAAGAAAGTTCACAACAGAGAGTAATGTGCTGGAAACTAGAAGTCTGAGCAGTTGCAAAAGGGTATACAACAGGTCGAGGGAAAGAAGATATTGGTATGGGGATTTGTTGAACATCTCGTCTGAAACAGGGGGTACCATAGTTAAGCAGAGGGAGCTAGATGTTGATTCCAGTACTAAAAATCAGCTCTATTTATCAGCAGAGAACATTGCTGATGGGAGTCTTTTTCCTTATCTTGACAATGGATCTGGGGGTGGGAGCGTAGAGAGGGAGATTGAAGGTTACTTTTCAGAAGATGATTGCTTAAAGTCCAATTCTGGTTTGTTGATCAGAAGGATGAGAAGAACTAAAAGGATCCTGTATTGAGAAGCCCTTGACCAGGTGAGCATTGATACAGCATCCTCCTCAGCTTTTTCGATTCTATTGAAAGAAGCGGTAGAAACTTGGGAGGTTAGCAAGCTTTTGGGTGTGTCTTTTAAGGAAGGGAAAGAAGCCTTTTTGGAAAAAATCATAGCTTTAGAGAAAGGCGTGAATGGGGTTAATAAAGGTTTGGTTGATTGAGGGTTGTGTCTGCACCTATTTCCTTTTATGAAGATGACAAAGTTAAATATGTTCATGGAATGTTAGGGGCTTGGGGAAAA